AACCTAATTAAGCATGGAGCAGTTTACCACCAAGGTGAATGTTTCAGCCACAGTAATTCTTGAAGACCATATAATGAGGCATAGAAAGTTTATAATCTTTATTAGCAGAGGGAATATTAATGGATTCTTGAAGCACTCAAGTTATTTGTGCATGTGTCATCTTCTAATAGACAGCCAGCTCCCTAGGGCTGGGACTGTATCTCCTCTATACTTTCTGTCTCTCTCAGCACTGGGCTCATACACAATAGGAAGCCAAGTTTGAGGGATGGGGGAGATGATGATGAGATCTGCAACAACTGTCTTTGAAGTTTGAGCCAATGAGCCCTTCCTCTTTTCCCGCCTTCTTACTAGTGACTTATTTTCTTTTGTGTCTGAGAAGGTTCTGCAGAAGATTGGAAAGGACACGATTATCACCCACGAGACGGCAGCCGAGACTCCAGGAAACATCGTAGGGCCTCGAGATTTTGTGAGTGTTCGATGTGCCAAGCGTCGGGGTTCTACTTGTGTGCTGGCCGGCAAGGCTACCCACTTCGGGGATATGCCTGAGCAGAAGGGTATCATCAGGTAACTGCCCTCAGGCTTAAAGACCCATCTCACTAGCTCCTCAGCTTCTAAGATCTCTTCCCAAGGGCCATTTCTTCTATAAATATTCTTGGACATACTTTGGCCTGGAGACATGGGATAACTGTTGAGTAAATATTGCTAAGAAGTTCTGATGCCATGTTAGTTCCCTTCCCTTTCAACACCTCTTTTGAAAAAAAAAAATCCTGCAAAGATTCTTTCCACTGTTTTCCAAAGAGGGAAACCAAGGCAGAAAGAGACCAGGACAAGACCTACAGGTTCATAAATTTAGAACTGGAAAAGTCCTTAGAGGAAATGTAGTACAAGTCCTTCATTTTACACGTGAAGAAACTGAGAACCAGAGGGGTTAAGTGATTTGCCCAAGTTGACACGGATATAGTAAGTCCCAGAGCCAGAATTCAAACCCAGGTCCTCTGACCCCAAATCCAGTGCTTTTATAGCTGTCCCATGTGGTAGCCAAAACTTGTTCTGACCCACTTTAGAAACATAACAACCTCATTTGCCTATTTATAGCTAAGTGAGGCCCACCATAAGAAAAACAAAGATCTGGGAGGTGGTAGAGTTGCAGGTGATGATGTAACCTGAGTGAACTGTTAAAAACAACTTCTGGGAGTCAGAAAGACCAAGTTCAAATCCCGCCTCAGACGCTAAATAGTTGTGTGACCCTGGGCAAATCACTTCACCCTGTTTGCCCTAGTTTCATCATCTATAAAATGAGCTGGAGAAGGAAATGGCAAACCACCCCAGTATACGTGCCAAGAGAACCCCAAATGGGGTCGTGAAGAGGTGGGCATGATTGAAATGACGGAACACAACAATAAAATGGGGATGATGATAGCGGCCTCTTCCCAGAATTGTGAGGATCAGATGAGATATTTGTAAAGCACTTAGCACGATGCCTGGCACATAGTAAGCTCTATATGAATAGCAGCTATTTTTATTGGGATTCCAATGATCTATGATAGCAATGGTACCGAGTACTATTTAAGAGACTAGAACTGTGAGTTCTCATCTCGTGACTGATTGTGTTCATCCCCTCAGAGCCGAGCATGGCCCCACCTGCATGGTCCTCCGTCCCGTGACTGGGAACCCCTTTCAGACTAAGCTGACCTGGCTGCTCAGCATTGATCTCAAGGTGAGTGAGTCAGGAAGACCCGACTTCAAATCAGGCCGGACATGATGTGTGACCCTGGCCAAATCACTTAACCTCTGTCTGCCTCAGTTTCTACAGCCATAAAATAGGGAGAATAGTAGCACCTGCCTCCCAGGGCTGTTGTGAGGATCAAGTCAGGCATTTGTGAAGTGCTTGGCACACAGTAGGCACTCAATAAATGCTTGTTCCCTTCCTCCCTCCCTCCTCTTAGGCAGCTGGAGCTTTAGGCTGGTTCCTTTTGGTTTTAGCTATCGCCTTATAAACTTTTCCACTTTAGGTTCATGGTTAGTGGGAGAACAGCCATGAGGTCTATAGAAGCAGCATTACAAACTGCCCTGACGTCTTGGGTAGTAGCATTCACACATGGAGTTGAAGGATGGCTGTCTGGAATTCCAACATGCCACACACTGATATAGGGCTTATGCCCAGAGGGCTGTGGGGCTCTCCTTGTTAAGATCATTTTGCTCAAAGGAACCTTTCTACTTGTCTCATGATCCAGGGCTGGCTACCAAAGGCCGTCATCAACCAAGTTATGTCCCAGACGCAGGTGGACTTTGCCAACCACCTTCGCAAGCGTCTGGTCTCCAGCTCCGCTCCTGCTGTCAGTTGTTGAAGACCTCCAGACAGCTCCTAATGGTCCCCCACAAGCATTGTTGCCTGTGCACCCATTAGCAAAAACCCAGCTGGGAAAAGCCTGTGGGTCTGTGTAAAATCTCCTTTCTAGACCAGTGGATAGGCGTAGTGGTGAGAGGGGAATTAGGGGGTAGGGGGTGGAGGGAATTGTTTATAGTATAGCAAATAAGGGCATAGGCTAAGGCCATAGACAGCACCAAGAAACAAGAGCCCTCTCTGCTCCAAGTTCACTGTCAGGGCTGTGCTGGAACAGTTCAGGCAGGGATGAGGCTAGCCCAAGGCCTTCTAAGTCTTCAACTGCTGAAAACATTTAAAAATACTTCTGGCCCCTTGGGTGAGACTGAAGGTGAAAATGTGAGGAAAGAGTCCTAACTTTGGAGTTAGGAGGCCTTGGGCTTGAATCTCAAGTCTGCTATTTACTACATGTGTGACCTTAGGTAAGTCACTGAATGTCTGTGGGTCTAAGTTTTCTCCTCTGCTTAAATGGGTCTTGGACTAGATCACTTCTTCAGCTAGCCAAATCCACAGAATGGGAGGGTAGGGAGACTAAACAATCATTTTTTTTGGCAAACTAAATTATAAGCCTGAATGACTTATAAAAACTGTTTCAAGTGAGAGACAAACAATGAACATCAAAGAGTACGGTTCACGACTGCCTATTCTATTTACTTAAAAGAAAGGGAAGAATGTCAGATAGGAATAGAGAAATAAGAATGCTAAGGAAAGAAAGAAAAAGCAGCAGGTTAAGGTCGATCAAAACCATCAATATAGTTTCCCAGTGTCTTTACATTAAAGAGGAAATATGAATCCTGGTGTAATGGCAAGAATACTGGAGTTGCACCCACACCTGTTTTCAAAGCCCTGGCTCTGTCACTCCATTGTTCTGTGATCTTGGGCAAATCACATTCCCTCTCTGGACCTCAGTTTCCTTATTTGTGATAGGAAGGGGTTGGACTAAATGCCCCTTTCTAAAGCTAATCTCCCCATGTTTCTGTTTTGGATGTTCAAGGCTAGTAAACTTTATGTGTTCTGCCTTATGGGCCATGACTTCAGCGGACTTTAGGAGAGCAGATCTGTGTCAACATATGCCTATCTTTAAAATGCTGTTTAGGCCTAAAACATATACAGCTACCAATTCTTCAGTTAAGATTTCTATATTAATAAATCAATACTTGATTTTTAGGTGAGTGTAGCAAGGTCTTTTTCCAAGTTTTAGGCACTTCTCGATTAGGGTAGGCTTTTTGTTGTTAAAAAGATTTGCAAGCAACAAAGAGAATAAATCTGCTCTCAAATACTTTTTCCTCTACTTCACAAAATAGAATAGTTAATAGAACAGGTTTGTACAATGTGGAAACAAAGCTTTTATTTATTCAAAATACTAGTGGGAATGTTGCTATTTATTGTTTTAAGTGTAACAACACAAGATGGTATTTATTACTATTTATTCTGATTATCCCAAGGAGCATGAGCCAGTCATTCTTGCCTTGGCTGAAATGTCACTTTTGACTTGTCTGCCCAGAGTCCAAGGATCACAGAGGGAGGTGAATGTAATGGCTCACATTTATCTAGTACATTATGGTATGAATGTAACCAACGCTGACTTTCAGAGTACAAAAGATTGCTCATTTTAAAAAAATCTACCAAGAAACCTTAAATGAGAAAAGACAGCAATATGATTGCTGGTTTCAAGAGAAAGGAGAGCAGGCTCCTAAAGAGACATGCCCAAGGTTTTTCAGTATAACTAAAAACTGTGGCATTTCAATAATCATGGGAATTCAAGAAGGGTTTCCTTCAGCTGTCTCCCAAACTCACTGTAACTATGCTTGAAATCTTCTGAGATGGTTTCAAGACTTTTAATTTTGGTTTGGAATAAAACAACCTGTTTGAGCCTAATATATTAACTGTCATCCTTAGAAGAATGTGAACTATAAGAGTTTTCAGTCCTCATTCAAACAACCTTCTTCCCAAAGTACAAACACATTTTGAATGTTATATATACATAACCAAAATCTCTCTACATGTGAACTCTGGGATGTAAGAAAGTGCAATATATAAACTTGCAAACTTGAGAAACACTACAAAAGAATTCACTTCACCTTTAGATACCGTCATCCTAATTCTCAGTCCTTCAGACTAGGGTTGGTGATGTAGGACCAGACTAGCACAAATCCCTCCTTCTCCCCTCTCACTCTCCAACACTATCACTTTACCCCTCAATGGACTTATTCCTACCTATGACCAGCCCAGAACCGAAGCAGTACATACTGTGAGTGTCAAACTAAAAGTGACTCATGTTACAGTAACCACTGACTTTAAATTTGTATAATGCAATACCTATTACTTATAGATAGGCTTGGTTATTCAGTGAACCCATAGGTATGGTATACTATTATGCAATGGGAAAACTTTACCCCTATGTCCTTATGGAGCCCCAGGTTGAAGGCTACCATCGGCTCCTTTGGAACAATACCATGAGAACTGTATACAGTCCAAGTTAGTGAATTCATGGTCACAAAGCCAAGGCCCAAGGGCTCCTCAGATGTACTGTTTTATTTTGCTCCAAAAAAGTGTCAAGGAGGCCATTTGGGAAGTTGATTTAACCTTGGGGGAAGGGGACAGAGAGAAGAGGAAATCACATTCGCCTCTGGTTTAGTTTTATTCAAGTACACTGGCAAACTGCCATTTAATCATCAACTCTCAAAAAGGAAGGCAAACTTGGTATAGGACAACAGATAAATGTAACAAAGCCCAATGTGCAAAGGAAATAAAGGGTAATGTATGTAGTATTCCGTCCACCCCTTCCTAAACTCTACAATCGCTTCCTTTCTAGTCTCCATAGCTCTGTTCTCTTCCTACTCCAATCTAGCCTATGTCTCATTACTAGCTTTATTTTCCAAGTGCAGAGGTCTGATCATGTTACCTCACTGATCAAAAATCTTGATGATTCTTTGCTGCCTACAGAATATAATTCAGATTTAAGAGTCTGGCTTTCAAGGCTTTTCATATTCTAGTTCTAATCTACTTTCCCACACCCACACCACTGCTCATACTGTATCCTATTTCCTCTGATCACCATTAAAAATCTTCAGTCTATCCTTTAAAGTCTTCCTCAAATTTCATCTCCTCTATCTAGCTTAGCTGAGATCTCTCAATGACTTCTTCCTCATTGAATTGCATAGCATTCTATTTCTCCTTTGCATTTGCCATACTCTAATTTGTATTTCAGTTATTTATGTACTTCATCATTCCTACCCATTTTATATTGCTTGAAAGCAGGGACCACGTCTTTAACTTAACCCCCAAGAATAGCATACTATATTGTACAAGGTAGGCTCTTGACAAAGGCTGAATAAATGAAATGGAAACCTTTTTGTTCTGAAAGTACAGGAAGCCAGGTTGGCTAAAAAGTAGTACTATAGCAAAAGACTGAAGTCAAAATCTCTCATTTCCCTCCAAATGGCACCTCTCTTACCCTAGACTGCTTGAGTCTCCATGACCTGCTGGAAGGGAGTCAAAGGCACCGTGCTCCACAGATCTAGTCTAAGAGAGAGACACAAAGTGCCAAACAAACTCATTTTCAAGTTTTATTTCAGACTGGTTATTACTCCTTAAAAGTCACAAGCAAGAGTGTCTTTCACAATTACAGTTTCATGCATCTGGCTGTTTTGGCATTTCAGAGATCCTTATATAAGAAAACTATTTACAAATTAAAAAACACACAAAAAATGAATAGTTTTTAGAGCTGTTGGAGCACAAGGCTCCTCGGCAGGGACCACTAATTCAGTTGCTCCTGGAAATGGAACGGCTGCCCCTTGCAGAAATCTGAAGAACGGGACAGAGTTGATATCCACATATGGAAATGTTTTTAAACATGAAAGCAGCTTGGAAGAGACAACTCCCTCAGTGTTAGAAAAGCGGTTGGAAGAGCAGCCTGAGATCTGATGACGAGTGGCACAGCACCAATTTCACAGGAAGCTCATTGGATTTTGAAGAGTCAGCAGTTTTAGAGCATGGTACACTGATGAAGAGCACTCATCCATAAACAAGGGTAGAGGACAGGGGTTGCCCGTCCCTGCCCTGCACTGCTAACCTAACCCTGTAACTTGAGAAAGGAGGTGCTGCGCTCTGCATGGTCCCTTTCAAGGCGAGGACATCTGAAACTGTTAAAAAAAAAAACGGAAGTACATAACACACCCAGTTTCGTTCCACAGAACAGTGACGACAAACAAGACCAGGGAAACCTGGCTATGGCTCCCATGGGGGACTCCGTCTTCCGTCTACTTCTGTTTCAACATGGTATAAGACATCAGCAAGTGTGTGCTCCACCACGGCCCCCCAGCCCATGTCACTCATCTGCAAGTTGAAGAACAGACAGGAAGAAGCTCGTTAAAACAGGGCATAAGACATGGATGGAACAATGCTGACATTTTAAATCAATACTTACAGGGCGGTAAGTGAGATCTCTTGGGGGATACTTGAAGCAGGGTCCAAAGTTGATAGAAACCTGAAAGAAATTTCATGCACAAGATACATACACATTAGATGACTCTTTCTCATTAAATTTAACCTTGATGTTCAGGGGGCTGTCCAATTATAGAACTCTTAAGATGTTAACAATTGAAAGAACTTTAGAGATTACAGAATCTAATCCTTTGGCTTTACAGATAAGGAAAATACAGTCCAGAAAAGTGTTGTGACTTGCCCCAAATCATACTACTAGTCAAGTGACAGGACAAGGACAGGTATCTCTTGACTTCCAGTTTAGGTTTTCCACTAAATTAGGAGATTATACTTACACTGACTTCCAATTTTACCTAATTATCTGTTTAATTTGCCACATTAGTAGTATATGCCAAAATAATATTGAAAGTTCAATTATTAGCCTAAGAACAAAAGTAACCATCAAGTCATTCAACAAATAATTGACTACTACTATAATAACAATTTATATTTAGAGACTTACAGTTTATGCTTAACACACAATACTTCATCAGACCCCTAAATCTGATCCTGATGATCATATGAGGAAGGTAGAAGTATTTATTTTATAGATGCTCATTTTAGAATTAAGGAAACTGGGGCTCAAAGGGGTGACTTGCCCAGCTTATAAGTGGCAAATTTTATACCTGAGCTTTACAGTAAACATGGTAGAAACTTAAGATTTATAATTAAATTTATTGAATTCTGACCCCATGTCCAAGGTTTAGTTCTAAGTATTATTCTTCACTCTACTAAGTTTACACATCTGATGGTATAATAGTCCTCAGTCAAGCCAGTAGCTTTTATAACTATTAAATTGAGAACATAAGTATTAAGACAAGAATCACCTATTATTTAATCCAATTCAATAAACACTTATCAAGTACTACTCTATAGAGAGCAGAGTGGGGAAAATACACTGGGGAAGGTACAAAGATTGATAGTTGTGCTCTCAAGGAATGTCTAATTTAAGAGGGAAAGAAAGATATTTATGCAAATAAATGACACAAGGCAAAATAGGATGGGATCATAAGATCATAGATTTGGAGCTCGAAGGAACCTCAAAGTTCATCTAACTTTGCAGATGAGGAAACAAGCTATACTGTTATTAAGTGGCAGAACCAGAATTTAAACCTAGGTTTGGGGATTCTAAATCCAGCCCACTTTCCATTGTACCTCTGCAAAAGAAACACGCAGAATGCTGTGGGGATTCTGAGCAGGGAAAGACCACTTTTAACTGGGGTAGATGAAGAGGAAGGAAGCCTACAAAGACTTCATAGATGAAGTGGCCTGAATAGAGGGAAGTGACTTCACTAGGCAGGAATAGAGAGCAGGAGTACATTATAGGCACATATGGAGATGGCATGAACAAACACACGGAGGTGGGAGAATACATGTAAACACAGACAGGAGAGTTTGGTTGGAATGTAGAGGAAGTAGGATGGGGGTAGATTATGAGATTAGGCTGGAAAGGTAAGCTGGAACCTGTTCGTGGAGGGTCTTGAATGTTAAGAGGTAGGAATTTATATTTCATTTAGTAGCCAATGCGCAGCCACTGGAGGCTTTTTAGTAGAAAAATGACATAATCAGAGTGACATGCTAGGAAGATTATTCAGGTAGTATGAAATGGAGAGGGAGAGACTGAGAGCAAGAAGACAGACAGACAATAATTTGGGTGAAAATGAGGACCTTAAGGAGGGTGGTTGCAGGAGAAGCAGAAAGGGAGGGGCAGATGAAAGAAACAGAATCAAAAGGGCTTAGCCAAAAAAAAAAAAAAGGGCTTAGCAACTGACTGGAAGTAGGATGAAAAGTGAAAGGTTACTAATTAAAAAAAATTAATATAATGCTTGTTACTATATGTCACAAAAGATCAAAATGATGTCTATGTAGCTGGTCATCCTTTTCATTCTATGCACATAAGTGAGAAACTGGCAACGACAAGGTCTACAAACTTCTATCCTTGCTGTAAAGTCCCCAGGATTCAGCCCCAATTCTGAAGGATTTAATAATGCCAACTTCTTAACTAAAAACAAACTCTCATCCTACCACCAGACCTATTCTGATTTCTGTTGCAGATTCTAACAACCGCTCTCTCCCCTACTATCTCTAGGATTGGTTTATAAGATGACACTCAGACCTACCGTGCAGCTTTTATACAATGAAATGGCAGGAAAGTAGACCCCTTCAAAAATTTCTTTGTAGGCCACTCCTTGGCTGACACCATTTTTGTAGAATATTATCTGCAAGATTAAAATCCAATGACTAGCTTAGAATGATGCCCAAGAATTATCAAACTGTACATGCCGTAGCTCCTTGGCCTGTCCCCCAACAGAGAACAAAGAGAGAGGAGAGGGACCCATGGATGCAAAAGTATTTACAGCAACCCTTTGGGTAGCAGCAAAGACCTGAAAAACTGAGTGGTGTACACTGACTGGGGAACAGCCAAGCACATTACAGGAGTTCTACTGTGCCATAAAAAGGGTGAAAAGGTGAAACCTTGAAAGATTTGTACAAGCTGATGCAGAACAATGAGAACAGCATAACAATAACAATGTATGAACAAATAAATTGTAAAGACTTAAGAATTTCAATCAAAGCAATGACCAGCTATGACTCCAGAGTTATGCTACTCTTCTAGATGATGAAGTATGTTACCTACCTCTTGACAGAGATGTAACAGACTCTTAGGGATAGAATGGACGTGGTTTTTTTTGGATGTGGCCAATGTAGGAATTTGTACTGCTTGACTATGATATTTGCTACAAAGATTTTTCCTTCCCCAATTGGGGGTGGAAGGAGAGTAAGGGAAAGAAAATTGATTTTTGCTCACTGAAAAAAAGTAAAATTCAATTGAAAAAACAAAGGCTTGGGAAAACTCTTAGAAGTACTTAATGTCTCTCAAAAACATACAGGGTTAAAGGCACTTTAAGAATGGGCAATAAGGTACAAGGAATACATTCTTGTTTAGATAGAGTTCATTCATATAACAGTAATTAAACTTTATGTCTATATGTCACTTTCTAAGTTTCAAAGCATTTTCACACCTATTATTCTTATCTCCTCATATTCTTTTTATTAGGAAAAGTACATATACATGCTAAACATATTTGCAATTTTTCTGAAATCCACCACCAAAATACAAAAGTTTCTCACAAATCCAATAAATTCTCATTCCTTTTGGTTCAGGGAATTTTTCCTTCAGAGCCCTAGTGGCTAAGTCTTCAGCATACGGTGCTTAAGCTCTTTGTATTACATATTTCTACTTTCTGTTGCGCTTTACAACATGTTCGTAAGACTATTTACTCTTTTGAGGTCTTGTTCCAAATACCTCTTTTCATTCTTTTTCTGCCCTCATCTCCACCTCCTGTAGGAACGTGAGCTCTCTGCAAGTAGAATTGCTTCATTCTTTCTATCTGTATCCCCGCTGCCGAGCCCAGTGCCTGGCGCATGGCAGGTGCTTAATAAATCCTCCACTGAGCTTTGAAGTCTTCTCTATTCGGTCTGTTCTCTCTCTCAATCCTCAACACTATCTCGTGATCAATTTCTCTAGGTTCTCTACTCACCCCTCAGCATCGTCATCCTCAGAAAAGGTGGGTTCTTCTGAAGCAGGTTCACCCACCTTCATCTGAATGTAGGAACTTCCTTCTTTCTTTTTGTTTTCTTGCTCAACTGCTGCTCATGCCCATTTACTTCATTTTCTTTTCTTTTCTTTTTTTTATAAGACGCTCTGGAATCCATTCTATTTATTTCCCCACATTTCTTACTAAAGTACTCCACCATCTTTCTATCCTCTCCTTTTCTTAAAACTCCAGATGACTTCTGCATATTCATTTGGCCAGATACTACCAGCTCAGTTCTTTCATGCCCTCATCTGACCCTTAGACAGTGGCTCAGCTACACATACCTCCTTTTCGATTTTGAGTAGTTTTATCTTTACAATGGCCTTGTGAGCTACATAGGAGCAAGTACTTTTATCCTCATCATACAGATGAGAAAAGGGAGTCACCCTAGATGTTGAGTGATCTGTCCAAGGTCAAGGTCTCTTGATTTCTAGTCTTAGAGCTTTCCACTGTAACATGTCCGGGTGTAAGTCACTCTCATTTAAGGTTAAAGTAGCATAACTCTTCATGCTGAATCTCACATAGGTGCTCACTTTATTGTGGTTTTTATGCTCTCTTCTCTAGACTCTTTTTTCTCTGGATTACTCCCAAAGGAACTTTTTGGCAAACCATGTTCCACAAGCTTTAAATACAACTTCATTAAAAAATGTAAAAACTATTTTTAACTTGTTGGCCATGCAAAAATGGTCAATGGGTCACATTTGACTCAAGGGCCATAATTTGCCAACTTTGTTCTAGATCATTCAAGTAAAAAGTTTAACTCACTTGACTATGGGGAGTCTGCTTGAGGCTCTTCTCAGCTTTATCCACAAAATCCTTTTCCTCAAAATATAAGTAACTCTTGAACTTTATCAAAGCCTTGAAAAGCAAAAGAGAGAGAAAGCAAGAGTCATGAAACATCATCTCTAGTATGAAATAACAAAACAACACATACTTGGTGCCCAGTGTTGGCACTCTGGGATAGGGATTCAAAACCCTTCAGGCATTAAGACACTCACCAAGGATTGATTTCACAACTGTCTTCCTCATTTCCCAAGAAGTACATTTTCTGTATGAAAAATTGCCATACAATTGGGGAATGGCTGAACAAGCTGTGGTACATGAATGTAATGGAATATTATTGTGCTATAAGAAAGGATGAACAGGCCGACTTCAGAAAAACCTGGAAAGACTTGTATGGTCTGATACTGAGTGAAGTGAGGAGAACCAGGAGAACACTGCACACAGTAACAGCCAAGTTGTGCGATGACTAATATTGATAAACTTAACCCTTCCCAGCAATACAAGGATCTAAGACATCTCCAAAGGCCTCATGATGGAATATGCTATCCACATCCAAAGAAAGAACTATGGAGTTTGAATGCAGATCGAAGCATACTAATTGCTATTTTTTTTTCTTATGTTGAGTTTTGTTTCCTCTTTCTGGTGGTTTCTCCTATTGGTTCTAATTCTTACTTACAACATCACTAATGTGAAAATATGTTTAATAGGAATGTATATGTATAGCCTATATCAGATTGTGCCCTGTCTTGGGGAGGGTGGTAGTGAGGAAGGGGGAGAAAAATTTTAAACTCAAAAGCATATGGAAGTGATTGTTGATAAATCAAAATAAATTAATTAAAAAGAAAAACAAAACAAAACCAAAAAAAGAAAAAAGAAAAATTGCCATAAAAATATCTGCTGACCTTTTATAAGTTTAGTTTGGATACTTGCTTATTCAATCTTGAATTATTGAGTCTTGAATCTTGTGTGTCTACACTTCATAAAAACCAAAAATAAAACTGAGATTTATGTTATATCTGAGCTTTTGTATGTGAGAGCTTGCAGAATTCATCTGTGGATATAGCAGAAGTTCTTGACCTTTTCTGTGTCATGGACCTCTCTGGCAGTCAGTATGATGAAGCCTACGGACAGACCCCATCTCAGAATCATGTTTTTCAATGCATGAAATAAAATACATGGGGTTAGAAAGGAAACCACCAACATTGGTTTGAAAGACTTAAGAATTCTGATCAACTATGATTCCAGAGAAGATGAAGTATATCAAAATATTTTTTTAAAAAACAACTTTATGGACCCTCCAGGTCCAGTACTTCTGGATAATGACAAGAGTATTATCTAAAGCGCCTCTTTCTTCTATTCCTTTAGACTGTCTGAAGCAAGCAATTAGGGGCACAATATTTCAACTGCATTCCCTAAGCCACAGCAGTTACAACAGAGCTAGAAAACATGCTGGTGAATCACACTAACTCTTGATTTTCTTTTTCTTCTAAAAATTTTTTTAGGCAGTTGGGGTTAAGTGACTTGCCCTGGGTCAAACAGCTAGTAAGTGTCAAGTGTTTGGTCTGAGGCCAGATTTGAACTCAGGTCCTCCTGACTCCAGGACTAGTGCTCTATCCACTGCGCCACCTAGTGCCCCTAACTCTTGATTTTCTGAACCATGTTCTACTGCTCCCTATTTTCCACCTCAAATTACAGTATTTTCATGAGACTTGATGAAATGATGAGAGGCCCAGACTTACTTGACCAAAATTAAGTAGGTAACCTTCCATTGTACAATCCCCAGGGCCTCTTATATACTACCATCTCAGAGTCCCCTTTCTTTTCTAAGGCATAGTCTATTCCTTTTGTACTCACTATTAATAGTAGGAATTTGTGATTAGTCTAAAGTGACTTCTCAGGAGTCAATTTATCAGGACTCTAGAATATAACAACTAAGATTTTAGATTCTAATTCAGTTTCCCCACTCAGTGTAGCACCCTGCTGGACTTTGACTATTATAATAATAATGAGGAGGAAGATGGTAACAACAACAACTATTCATATTAGAGATTCAAAGTGCAAGCATTATCCCCATTTTACAGATGAAGAAACTAAGGCTAAGAGACTGAATGATTTGCCCTCAGACAGTAAATTTCAGAACTACTGCTATCTGCCTCTAAGCTTGGAAGTTTAAACCATAAGCAATTATAATGAAACACATCTTCTTCCTCTTGGTAGAAAGGCAGGATACTATTGCTGTGTTGGTTCTGCTTAATTATTTTTCTTTGTTTGAAGGAGGAGGGGCTTATTAGGATATAAAATTCAAAAGGCATCAACAAAACATTAAAAAATAAAAAACAAAAAATAATTAATTGAAAAATGACAATGGGTCTGCTTGTTACCTCAATCAAGACAGCAAAATAAGAGCTGGGAATCCATGAGAAGGGGAACACTGACCTTATCTTTATAGGTGTCAGGCAAAGACTTGGCAGTTTCTGTCTCCTCAGGAAGATTGATATAAAACCCCAGTATGTCGCCTTGACCATAGCCAGATGAGTAGCGTTTGCCAATGGATTGATGAAACTTGGTCCCCTTCTTGCTCCGCCATGAATAACTGAATTTGTCATAGCCCAGAGGAGCTTGGAGGTTACCTGTCCCAACAAAATACATGGGAGTCAGAGAGTCAAGTCAACTCTGGCTTCCTACAGTAATGGTTCTCTTTAAATTTGTCTGATCTGCTTCAGTTTCTTAAAAATGGCCCCTCTCAATGTTTCTGAGACAATAATTACATAGGGTAAATGCTCAGTAATCAAAGTATTCACAGGAGTATCAAAGCAAAGTGTATGAGATGCTCATCAGAATTTTGGCTGGTGGCCATGCACAAAATTTCCTCCAGATTAGCTCCACTGGTCTAGACCAACCCTGGGACACAAGGGGCCTTTACTGCCACATGCTGGAACAGAAGCTTACCGAGAGGCTGGGACCAGCCCAGCCTGGCAGCTGTATCTGGAGGCATCTCATCCACTGAGATCTCAAAGTACCAGGCACCTTTCCGAACTCCATGTGAGGCTCGAACCATTGAATAACCCTTCTCTCCGATCACAGTCAGTCGGTCATCTGAGATCTTTAGCTGAGGAGCTGAAGCGATGGAGATCAAAAAAGACTGCTTAAAGAGCTAACTGTTCTTATTACTAATGAGGATAATGACTCATATTTACACACAGTTTTCAGGTTTGAGTGTTTTCCTCATGACAAGTCTGTGAGGTGAGAAGCACAAATATTATCCCCCTTCTCTACAGAAGGAAACCGAAAAGGCAAAGTAACTTGGCTGAGTAGGCCATAAGCCTAGAAAGCAGCGGAGCTGGCGTTCAGATCTAAGTCCTTTGACTCCAATCACTTTCTTATTGAGAAAGGGCACAGGAGGGCACACAAACCACACACACTGGTGAAGTCCTTGGATTTCAATGGAACCCATTCAGACACAAGAAAGTCTGGCAATTTAAACATACAAAAAAATACTCCCAAAATATATAAAGTACCATCAACCTCCTCACACTAACATTCTGTGCCTTGACACAAAAATGACATCAAGTACTAGCTGTGTCTTTTCCTCTCCCATTTTACAACAATATTGGCAATAAGTAAAACATCCCAACATCACTGGGCCTGTCTCACTAACCAAACTCTGGTCACTCATTTGACTTCTATCTAATTCCTGATTATGGTAGAAAGGCCAATGCTCCCCAACAGGTAACCTAGTTCCAAAGGACTAACAATGGTGACAGTTTTACTGTCTTGGATTTAAATCAAACAGTAACCTGGAAAATTCCTTACTACTTCTTGAAGGTTTTCAAATTTAAGGGTTTACCATAAGTATGAGCCTCCTCTCTGAAGCTTACCATCCAATGAGTGAAGGAATTCTTCGGCAAATCTCAAAGACTATCTACTAAGTTGGAGAAGGGCTGTAATCTGTATTAGCAGAAGGAATACCTACACCACTGAAATTAGAGATACTTGAAGTACTGAATGAAGTAAAAGTCTCCACTCAAGTCCTACTCTGATGCCTCACTGTGAAGTGGAGATGATCTGTGGTTCTCAAAGGGCTATGCAACACAGTACAATCTCTGGTTGGCCTTCCCAAGGTAGACAGGCTGATAGATAATGTATATTTCATCTCAAGGCAAACCCAGCTAAATACGGAAAGGTTGATTAAAGGTTTAACTACTCATGAAGACTGTCTAGCAAAGTCAGGGAGAGGCTGTGACCTTCACTGGCTGAGGGAGTTCACCAAGACATGACATTGTGTATCTTTTACATACTGAAGGAACAGAGTTTGATATGAAGTGAACTTCTTAAGGGACAAAGTAAATGATATCCATTCTAAATGACACTTGACTGGTTTCTGGTATGGTAGGCATATTGCGCACCTCGGTCGTGAAGTGCTAACAAAACTCGTTCATAGAGGCATGCTCTGTAGAGGTCTCCTGGAATAGGCTTCCCAGCCCAACAGTCCAGTTCCAGTTTCTCAGGATCTGGGGCATGAGGGTCTGGTTCTGCGAGAATATACCGATAGCCATCTTTGTTAAATGGGTGTTCCAATGGATAGCCATGAGGGGGAAGGCGTTGAGCAGAAAACAAGGGGTCACTGGAGAAAGGAAAAAAAAATACAAGAAGCTAGTGTCCTCTTTAGTTCAGATGTCAATAATATATAAAGATTTTCTTTCACAATCAGATTTCCTCTAAAAACACATTCACAATTCCCACATGTTTTTTATTCTTTGAATGTATCATTCTGTTTCCTACAGGCAAACAGAAGAATGGTATCTATTTAGGACACTGGATCTCAAACAACCTCTCAACAACTACTGGTCATCCTCTAGGTGGTTTATAGGTTAGCTTGAAATAAAAGGCATATGACTGGTATTTGTGCAGTCTCTGAGACACTATAAAGGATTTTTTTTTAAAGAGAGTTATTGTGCAGTCTGACTCTGATGCCTCTTTTTTTTTTTGGCAATTGGGGTTAAGTGACTTGCCCAGGGTCACACAGCTAGTGAGTGTCAAGTGTTTGGTCTGAGGCTGGATTTGAACTCAGGTCCTCCTGACTTCAGGGCCAGTACTCTATCCACTGCGCCACTGAGCTGCCCCATTCTGATGCCTCACTGTGGTTCTTGAAGACCATACTGAAAGAAGGCAGATTCTATCAAGCTATAAAGGCTTTGTGTATGGTTCTAGCAATGGACTATATTTTCAGGCCTAGCCTTGTTAAGTTTGGAAAAGATGAGCACTAAAGGAATGACTACCAGATGATGAATTTTGGGGTCACAGCAGGACATTTATTTGCTTACTCAATTGTAGAAGGATGGAAATATGGACAAGTGGAAGCATTATCCTCATAAAGGATGGATCACAGAGCCTTTTAGTATTGAAGTTGTGTGTGTGAAAGGGCAATGGAAGAATAAGGGGAAAAAGTGAGATTTCATATTACTGAGTAACTTTTCTGCCATCAACTATGGCTATTGCTGTCAGCCTGGTTAAGAAGTGACACAGTTGGTATCAGCTTCAGATCTGGACCAAAGATAAGGAAGAAGTGAAGGGACACGAGGGAAAGCACAGAATACACTACCCAAGAACATCACATCAAATATTGGTTTCACTCCTTCTTCCCTATTCCCCATTTTACCCTTTGTCAAGATCCTGTAGTTCTCATTTCTTGTGATTCTCACCCCAACACACCCAAAAGGGATACAGAACAAACGGCAAGGAATGGATATGGCAAGTAGCATTGCCCTAGGGAGACTCTGCTTTGCAATGACAAGTCAGAGTAGATAGGATAGCTGGTTTCTAAGTCTTTCCCCTTCACTGTTTAAGAAACTCTGGTTTAGGGGGTTAAATGATGAAAAGATTCCTCTTTCCCATTTAACCATTAGAGAACATGCCTCTTTTGCTAACAAGGCTAATGCCAGGGCCAACTGGTACACTGGTGTTTCTCTTTACCTTCGAGCCTTCTTGGTTGTTCCTGTGGTCCCTCCATCCTGCTGTTTGCGCTTGGCTCCTCTTCCTTTTCCACTACTTCCTGCTGCAATTCCGCCTTAGAAAGAGAGGGAAGCTCACTATCAATTGGCTGTGATGGAAGGAAGATGTGAGCTGAGGGCAGAAACTCTCAGGGGACTAAAAGGCTGGAGTGCATTTGGGCTGCACCAAACCAACCTTTCTAAAAGGACAACACATATGATTTTGCCCTGACTCTGAATGACTCTACTAGATGGTAAATTCCATGAGGGCAGGGACCCTATCTCCACTAAACTTTGGCTCCCTTCAAGGTATAGCACAACACTTTGTAGTTCTGTGCACAGTAGATGCTTAATAGATGCATGCTGAAAAATGATTCAAACCACTAAACACTCTAAATATGTGCACACAAAAACAATCTTTTCTTTCTCAATAAAACAAAACTAGTAGTTCCCTTTCTGAGGACACTGACAAATGCAATTTCATTTATGGAGTTTCCAAATACCCAGAGCTAAAAAGAATGAAAACAATTAAATATTTTTTTTCCATCAAAATCAGAACAAACATTTACATAAAGAGAATATCCTCACTGTAAGCAGATTTTCCACTTGCTTTAACAGCACATGGTACACACCCCATAAGCATAATAAAAACACAGTACCTGCTAAAGCAGTTAAGCACTTAACTTCAATGTTCAACCAAATAAAATACACCAAACAAGGAAAAACAAAAACAAAAGCACTAAAAAGGTGTTTCTCTCCAGTGCTGCCTAGTCAATTTCCATTGTGACCACTTTAGGTACATGAAGGATATCAATTTTACACAACTAAAAACAGGATTTAAAATTTAGCAAGACTTTTTTGGGTATACTTCACAGTAATGTACTGAGTTGTCAAAATATTAGATTCAAGATAGACTAGACCTGGGCTGTGGTATTAAATGAAAGTATCGGTGTGAGTATGTGTGTGTATATGTATGTATGTATGCATGTATGTATGTATATACACACACAAACACACACATTTTGTCGACAAAAAAATATATACACACCAGACTAGTAGCTTGGGTAGTTCTGAAATAAGGAATCAGTGTAGTTCTGCTCATTTCTCTCAAATGAAGTTAGTTTAAATTTTTTTTTATGGAACTGTAGGCAAACACCTTTATGTAAACAACAATTGCATAGAGTACAGTATCTAAAAGTGTAGCAAGCTTGTAAAACATCAGCATACCCCTGTTGCAGTAAAAAAGAAACAAGGTCAAAGAACAAGATCATATTCTGCACAAGCAGTTCAAGGGGTATTAAAGAATTAAATTCTTAAATTATAACAAGAGTTCATCTTATTCCTCACAAAGGTTTCTGATTATTAAAACAGGACCCGAATGCTTCTGGTTTAATTTGGGTTACCCTAACACATTTGGCATTTCGGGGGGTATATTTTACATTTTAACTTTTAGTGATGTTTTGAATCGAATTATTTCAAACACAGCAAAAGGCATTAAGGAGAAGACTGGCCATGCTAGGCAGAATATGACAGTGTAAAAGCTTCTAATTACTAACATTAAAACTGAAATTACAGTCTCATATTAAGTTCTATGGTCACCATTTTAAGAATGCTTTAGATTTTCTAAAACTGGTTTTAGCTTCTAGGACAACTGAGCAAAAAAGCACTTTCCAAACCACACAATACTTAAGGTTGAGAGGCTGAGAGGTAAATATTCACCTCCAAAAGAGGCTCCACCTGTAAGAACAGAAGTGGCACCATGTATTTGTCAAATATTAACAAGTCTAAAGGAGAAAAAAAAAAATCAGTGTTTGAAAGGAAACAAACAACATCCTCACTAATTTTTGTCTTAAGAAATTCTTTAAAGTAGTGGGAAAAACTTAGAAATTCAAGAAGACATGAGTATTCTAAGAGGCAAGTGATGGTTCCACAATGAAAACCTGTCCACCTTCTAGCCCCCCCCTTCACTTGAGGTCACCTGAACATAAATTTCTTTCAGGTATGGAGACTGGTAACCAAAAGGAAAAATAACTGTCAGCAAGTAATCAATACACAAAGGCTGAATTTGAATAAAACTCCCGAACAACTTAAAATCTCAGAATGAGAAAAAGAGGAAAATGGGACCTACAGAACAGGAAGGTAATTAACTTACAAATGAAAGTAAAGGCTGAGGGTAAATGCTATGAAGCTCTTTAAAGCAGATGAAGCTTTAAATGAAGCAATGAAGCTCTTTAAAATGAAGTGTTGGAGTCATTTCCAAGGATCTGGACTTTCCCTGGCATAGGGACTTCTTTGCCGTAGGTGGATCCCAACCCTGACTGGCCTGTTTTCATAATTTGTTAAGGAAAAACCAAAAGGTGTCAGCTAGTGGTCATCCACTAATTATGGCTCCAAAATAATAAAAACAACTAAATTTGACTCCAAATGAAAAAGACTAGTTCACATGTGGTTTACAGTGTGACAAAAAGTCCTACTAAATTACCCAACTGCCTAGCTACAAAATATAAAGTGGCATTTAAAAAAGGAATCATTTTGAATAGCTATCAATTGATCTTTCCAACCCCAAGACTTCCATAAGCAGTCCTATTTAATATCTTGAAAATATTTTAATAAAAAAAAAACTGAACACTTGCCATTTAAATTTCCACTAGTAGACACTGTGCTGCTTTGCTTCTGGTTGTCATAAGCTGGGCCAATATTACCAAGATCCTAGAAGAAAACATGTAATTTTAAAAACAAATCTCTTAAAACAGCTCCATAAAATCAAGTCCAAGGAGGCAGATGCTCCAGAGAAGATAGAGAAGGAATTAAAATAGCACAGAGGAACTGGAAATGACATTCCTGAAAAGGTCTGAGATTTGTAGAATACCAAAACCAAGTCATTATCCCTTAGCTGGAGAGCTTTGACAAGATCTTTCTCAAAAACTAAAGAATGCTTTTTAAGTACACAGAAACACAGAATACTCACTCTGGAAGCATTCTTAGAGATTGGCTACAAACAAGAAACTTGAAGCAGAGACCTGATTACAGCTTAGATCTGCCATCTCCCAGCCTAGCGCTCTTTCCACATGATACAATATAAACCAGTGCACCTGATCCAAGAGCCCAAATTTGGGGTAATCTTCTTCCGGGTCTTTACTTCCAGGGTCTGGATGTTCCTTCACCAAAAATACGTCCCTTTCTCTACTCTGAAAAGAAGGAGGATTTGAGCATTAAAAGCAGGCAGTTTCTGAATAGATCACCAACCACAAAAACGTCAGTGTCTCCTAACCAACCTTACTATTAAGTTATTAAGCCCTCACTACACACCAGAAATCATGCCAGATAAGAAAAAATTAAATAGGCTGAGCCCTGGGGGGATCTCACACCCTCACATGGGATATGATGTGCCCTTGCCCAGGTAATTGATGGGGAAAGCCCCAGGCATGGGGTGGCATTTGACCTGAGTCTTGATGGAAACCCAGGATTCCAAGAGGAACTGGGGAGGTGGACTGTCCAGAGGTGGGGGCACAAAGGTAAAACAACAGGTGACAGACTGCTGTGTGTGCGAGTAACATGCACAAGGAGTTTATGGAGGGAGAGAGTGGTCCTGGGGATGTTGGGGAGCCAGTGGATCCTAAGGAATGAGAGGGTAAAACAGTAAGATTTTCACTCCAGGAAAATCACTTCAGCAACCACGAAAAGCACTGGGGTGAGGAGAGACTGATGAGTAATAGCCCAGGCAAGAGGTGACAAGGGCATGAATTAATGGTGAATAATACTTAAAAGAGCCTATTCATCTGAAGAAAAAGCAAACCAGGGTCCTCTATATTCTGGGTTATGGTTTGGTTTGGGTCTATGTATGTTTGTGCAAAATTATATATGTTTGTATAAATTTCTAACATATTGCCTAAGACTTCCAGAAGCTGAAGGTGTATTATATACACCCTACACAAATCCTACTGAATGAACACTGTGAGAAACCCTGTCTCACCTCCATCTGAACAAGATCCACTCACAAACTGATTAAATTCACATTTGCAGTCTATTCTTGCTCATTCTCAATAACTGCCTAAGCAGCTGGTTTTTTTTTTGCTTTTTGGTGAGGCCACTGGGGTTAAGTGACTTGCCCAGAGTCACACTAGGAAGTATTATGTGTCTGAGGCCGGATTTGAACTCAGGTCCTCCTGGCTCCAGCGCTGGTGCTCTATCCACTGTGCCACCTTGCTGCCCCTGTCCAGCTGTTCTCACTTCCTTTATGCAGTACAGAGAGAAAGACTGAAAGAATAAAACTCTTCTAAAGGAAACTAGCTTCTCAAAAATCTCATTTCCTCAATTTTCTTTTACTTACCATTGTTTTAACAATGTTATTGGGCCAAGTCATTTTCCCAGGTCTCTGTCTGGTGGTCATGCACTCCCAGTATTTATCAATGAAAGGTATAATATCCTAATTTTAAAAACAAAGATGAGTTAATATCTTTATAACTGCTTTAAACATCACTGGCCACTGAAGAAAAAGAAAAACAATTACATTAAAAAATGTTTTAAATCTTCCAAATTAAAGGAAGAAGCTAAGCACGACTGTTCACTATTTTAATTATTATGTACCGAGTATACACTATATTCAAGACATTGTGCTAGGAACAGAGGGGCTCCAAGAAGCATTAGATCACATTTGCCTCTAAGGAGCTGACAATTTATCTGGGGAGGACCACAGGGAGACTAGTTAAGTTCATTCTATTAAATGACTTTAACTCTAAACGCTCCTTCTAAATTTTTTTTTCACCAAGCCTACATGAGCACTGTCACATAAATTCTCCAAAGACCTTTAAAGTATGTTGGCAACACCAAACCCACATGTGCACTGTCACATAAATTCTCCAAAGACCTTTAAAGTATGTTGGCAGGCTATTTGGGGATATACTTCAAGGTTTTCAGTTATCTATACTTCAAGGTCTGGCCTCTTAACTCTTTAGGTTCAGAATTGTGATGCTCCATTAAGGTTGAATCAGACTGGGAAAATTAACTCACACAGCCTCAAAGTCTAGGACTCTCTTCCATATGAGGGAAACCAAAACACCTGTTCCAAAAGCCCACATTTTTTTTACACAGATTAAATAAAAAACCAGCCTCTCTTTTGCAAACAATTTTTCTTTGTTTAAAAAAGACAACTCATTTATAGTACTGTAATTTGATGAAAAAAGAATGTTAAAACAAAAAGGAAACAAGTCAATTTAGCTAATAGATAATATAACTGATTTAAGTGTAAATAACATGCAAAATTATGTCTTGTCATCCATCATTTCTGGCTAGTATTTCATATAAGTTAACAAAGTCATCTTTCATATACTCTGGCCTGGTCACACAGTTAAGAAAGTATTTCCATTACTGCGGTCAATAACAGAAAATATACTGCAAAGATTTAAACACAAAATAAGTAAGCATTATACTCAAGTAATTTTATTCCCCACTAACGTTTTTTGTGCACTTTGTTGTTTTATAACAAATCATTTTGGCTTTGTGGCAATTACAGAAGCATAATCTGGTTCCTTTTAATTGAATTTGGTATCAAATATATCTAAAGTAACTTGCTGTCTATGTACATTACTGAAATTGATTTGCAGAATTATCAAATCAAGGACACAGTTATTATGGCCCTATAAAATAAAAGAGCAAGAGGAGGCAAGGAAACATGGCCATGGAATAAAAAACTAGGAAGTAGATCAAAGGAAAAACTGCTGTCACACAACTGAGGTTTCACTCTTCTTGGAGTTTCCAGTTTCCTGATAGACTTCTAAAAGTCATCACAAGGGACATGCAGAGGGCTGTAAAGCTCGTCTCAAAAACTGCTTCAGTGCCACAGTCAATTCAAAGCTGCCAGACCCTGATGTACTTTGAGGATGGCATCCCAGAAGAGCAGGTGCTAAGCTCTTCAGGAGTTTGTTTTCCTTTTTTGGGTTGGTTTTGTTGAGTCAACAATGAAAAGACTCTGCCCATGGGTCTAAATACAGGGAATGCCATTGAAAGCTGGAACATTTTTCAGGCTGACAGAAAGACAAACCCAAACTTCTTCCAAAACAGGTTAATCCCAATTCTTTAAAGGTAATGCCTTAGTAGACACTAATTTTGTCTTAGTGTGCTATTAGACCAGAAATTCAGTGAGAAAAATAACTTGTTAGGCAAAGCTTCTTAACCTTTTTTGTTTCATGGGCTTTGTTACGGACTCCTCAGAAGTATAATGTTTTTAACTGCTCATCACACACCACGCACAAAGGTAAGGGAAACAACGATAAACATGATATATACAGTGTAGAGGGAGAAGATCAACAGGCCTATTTTGGAGAGTTCATGCTGTTCAGACTAGAACCACTAAAATGGTGTGTCCACACACCATTGAAATCTTTCCTTATCTAGTCATTCAAACAACAAAGACCTATTAAGCACCAGACAAGTGCCCTGTATTGGTTTAGGTACTGAGGGTACAAACACAAAAATGAAACAGTTCCTATCCTTGAAAAACTTACATTCAAACTCATCAAACTCAAAAGGCCCACTTTGAACCCTGCATGGTTTTCTTTGAATTTCCACTTTTTCCTCAGATTTCCACCTTTGTTTTTTTTTTAGCTCCTATGAAATGCATCATGCAATTTAGCACTTGATGCAATAATAGAATTATCTAATTGCTGATTATGCAAAAGCCTTGGCTCTGCATCCATATTATAAACTGCTTGAGGGCAGGAATCACATCGTACAGTGGCTCATTTGCCACAGGGCATAGCTAAGTATGCCAGGCACATATTATGCCCTCAAAAAAAACCTTCTTGATTGATTCAGCATTTAAGTGGAGTTAAAAAACTGCATGTTTTTCAAGCTGTTGCTGTTGCTGCTAATAATGATGATGATGATGACAGGATAACAGATTTTGGGCTGGAAGCAACCTTAGAAGACAGCAAGATCAATTTCCTCATTTTATAGATGCAGAAATTGAGGGTAAGAGGTTAGGTGATTTGCTCAGAGTCACATAGCTATCTGTCTAGAGGCAAAATTTGAACTAAGGACTTTCTGACTCACAAGTTGGCTCTCTATCCACCATGCCACACTGCTTTTCTACAAGTCGTGTAACATTGTAACACAGAAAAAAAAAATTGCACAGAACAAGTGAAAAACATGGAACTTGAATCCAAGGTCAGACTTTATTCTGAAATTCAGCAATTATTCTTAAAGCTCATATCCAGAAAGTTCGACCTGATTTTTTTGGAGCTACCATATTACTGATGCAAGAAGGAATGGGACAACTCTACCTTGTCTTTGGAGAACATGGTTTTAGGATGTTCATCCTGTGTTCGGGACTGCCATGTCAGGTTGGCCAAAGCACTAAGGCACATTTCTTTTAAGTCTTTGAAAGGAAAAGAAGAAAAAGATTTAATCTGTGGTAACAGATATTTCCCCAAACTCAAATAGATATTCAACTCAAAATCCTTATGTGAAGTGCTCCATAAAAAGAGACATCTACCAGCAAGAACATGGCCATCAGTTGAACTGAAGATGGTGAAGGGACAACTCACTGCCAGTGGACAGGCTGCATAAACCTTAGCCTCTGAACCTCAGGGAGCAATCAGCAAGGTGGTAGGTGGTCTCCTGGTTTAACTATGCCCCATCTTTTCTCCTCCTCCTTCTCAACTTCCCATTTGTAGCAGATCAAAACATTCCCCATTTCCACACTGTTATAGGACATGTACTTACTTGCTTGCTTTCGGAGGAAGTAGGTGTTCCCACTGTGATGACACACATTGCAATGAAAACTATAGTTTGTCATAAAAGGTAGGCAGGACCTGCAAAGAATAAAATTCAAATATTTTACTTGGTGTATGTGTATATTATCTTTTTTCTCACTGAAAACCCTGCACAATCTTAGTCTCAATACAATCCTCAAACTTGAAAAAATAATCACTCAAACTTGTGGATCCTGACAAATAAAAAACACCCATAAGAGGATTTTTTTTCTTATTCAAAAATCCTCTAGAGTCTTGCTCTATCTGATAATTGTATCTGACAAATAGAGGTAAGTCTGTTTTTGCCCTTCTCCAGGTGGTTTATTGTAAACACAAATATAAATCTCTATCATTGAGCACCTGGCATAAGCAGAGACTGTTCTAGTTCTATCAGAAGATACAAAGTACGAGAGGTCTATGTCTTCAAGGAGCTGATCTTATTGGAAAAACAAGATATTAATATGTGAAAAGTTAAACAATAAAGGATGCTTGTCAAATCAACCCCATATTCAGTACCTGGAGAATTCAAGGACTAAGCAATCACTTCAGCAGGGGGTGCTCAGAGAAGACTGGGCAGGATTTAAGAAGACACTAAGAAGGGATAGGGCATTTCAGATGTGGAAGCATATGTCATAGAAGGGTAGAAAAGGCAAAGCATATGAGAACAGAAAAGGCATACAGAGGTTCAATGACTTGCCCAGGGTCATACAGCTAGTGAGTATCTGAGGTCAGGTTTCAACTCAAGGCTTTCTAACTCCAGTCCAGCACTCTATCCATTGTCCTACCTAGCACCTAGTTTGGGATGAGGCTGGGGAAGTTTCAAATATCAAAATAAATCAGGACTTTATCCTCTAGGCAATGGATAACCATTGAGCAAGGGAGGAACGTGATCAAAATAAAGTTTTTGGAACATTAGTTTCATTATAGTGTGTGGGATGGGTTGGAGGTGAAAAAAATCTGGAGGCACAGAATATGGAGTATACAGTAGTTATACAATTACTGAAGTAGAATAAAAACCCATGAATTAAGGCCCAACCTAGGGTATTACAGAATAGGGATTATTAGTAAGGGATATAAGAAATCCTCTAATCCAGATCGCCATCTAATGAATGACCTTTCCATAATATCCCCAACAAGTGGTCAGTCAGCATCTTCTTGAATATCTCCAATGTCGGAGAATTCATTACCTTAAGAGGCAGTTTATTTCATTGGCAGAAAATTCTAAACATTAATAAGTTCTTTCTTATATTGAGCTAAAATCTGCCACTTTGCAAATTCCACCACTGGTTCAAGTCCCTTTGGGGACATGCCAAATGAATCTAATCTTTCTTTCACAAGAGAGTCTTTCAAATATTTAAATACTATTATCACATCCCTGGGACTTCTTCAGGTTAAACATACTCAATTCCTACCCCACAACCATCACAACTCTTGGTTTTAAGTGTCACCACCATCCTAATCATTTTCTCTACATGCACTCCTACTGATCAACAGCCCTTTTAAAATGTGATGCCCAAGAACATAATACTGCAAATGGGGGTTGACCAGAACAAAGTAGAGGGGGACTGCTTATTCAATAAACATAGTCTTAGAGCATGCTGGCTTTTTTGGAAACCACACTACACTACTGAATACTGCGGGTCAAAAGAAGCCACAAATGCTCTCGAGTCAAGTCTTCTCTACACTGTATTTGTGATAGGAGGAATGGAAAAAACCAACTGGAAAAAATAGCAGAACTCAGTGACTAAGTGGATCACAGTCATTCAAATAAGAACATCCATTGGGTCCTCTGAACCATGGGACTGAAGCCCAGGAGTTATAGGTATAGGTCAAGTAGAAAGTAGAAGAATTTGCCAAAAAAGAGAATGAAGACAGAGTGAAGGATGAACTTTGGGAATGAACACCCACATTTAAAGGGTAAGGGAAAAAAGAATTGTTAGCAAGAGACAGATTATTGTGCAGCAAAACTTTAGGTCCCTAATTAAAAATTACTGAATATCTCCCAAATATATGTGCCTATCTCAAAGGCACCTATATAAAATTACTAATACACCAAACTTTTACTACAAAAATTTCTTACTTGTAAAAACCTATAAATTTAAACTGATTCCATCTCTTTACAGCCAGCTACTGTGTTTTTGTTCTTTTACCTGGGATGCTGAGCCCAGAGAGTGAAGCAGTTCACAGTGCAGTTTGTATATTGAATCAGTTTGCATTATAGTCTGGGTTGAAAAAAACTTCCCTAGAGCATCAAGTCTTAGATGCACAGTAAGTACTCTATGATAACATTCGCTAAATAATACTTCTTAATTCAACATCTTTATCCCATCAACTGAAGGATAGGGGACAAATAAAATCCTGTATCTTTGAAATGTCTACATATTAGCATTTATATTTACAAAGATTCTAAAAATTGCTACTTATTGTGTCCATTTTAAACATCAAGATCTTTACAAAAGCAGAAAGAAATACACACGTGGTATCAATGCCAAAGGTGTCTGCTGTGAACCACTTTGTACATATCCCACACTGCAGCTCCACCTCTCCCAGCTGCCGACTATTCTCTTCATCCACAGAACCAGTCTGAGTGTCCATCACTTCTGAACTGTCCCCAGCTCCTTCCTAGTTTCATGGAATTTTAGAGGAAAATTAGAAGATCAAATCCACAGACTAGTTGTGTTCAGACAGACAATGTCTATGCAAAAATCCTAAACAAAAGTAAGAAATACTTACTAATGTATCTTTTCCATTTGAGGATTCAGTCTCCAAACCAGCAGTTACATCAACCAAGGTAGAATCCCTAGGAGAATGCATTTATATAAATAAAATAATGTTCAGGAGAAACACTCTATCCAATGAAGAGAATTTTAAAATCCTAGTCTCTTGTTTAGTCAAGAATACCCTTAGACTACAGCTCTTGGACTACATATTTCGGAAGTAAAAATCAGGTCACAAAAACCCATGGGAGAAGAAGAGGTTTTGGGGTGCAGACAAAGGTAATGACACCAAGAAAAGGAAGTGCTGGATGGACAAGTTTGCCTTTGTGGGTGGGAACCATGTTTATAACGATGGTGGCTCACTCACTGTTCTCAATTTAAAGCGTAAAACAAAATTGTAGATATTTTCTTACGGAGGCCTTTATTTCTTTCGGCAAGGCATGCTTTAAAATAGTGGACAGCTCATAAATGCGTCTTTAATTAAACTGAACTTGGCATGATGAGCCTCAGCCAGAGCTGAGGTCTTGGCTACCCTGCCTTAAGTATGCACTTCAGGTCTTGTGTGGAGTAGCTTTTTCTTGGGGGAAGTGGGGTTCTGCTCTCAGTGAGGTCAGGAGACTGTGATAAAGAGGGGTTCTGGGCATTAGGATAGCAAGGGTTTGGACTTGAGAACCTCTTTTATGGGGTAGTTTAGTGGAGTCTGAAGGGCTTCACAGAACAAGACTTTAAGGAGCGGGGAGGGGACGCTGCCCTTGCAGACTGGCCCAAGGTTGGGGAAAGGCTGCCAGGCTCCTAAAAGATCCGAGATCTGGAAGGGTCGTGAAACACCCAAAGTTTGAGGAGGGGCGGGGCCAAGAGTGAGCAAGAGAAGGTCTAAAAGGGAAGCGACCTCGGGGTCAAGAACAACTCGTTTGGGGTACCCTTGGCAGGCGGCGAGTTCAAGTGTTGGAAGGGGCGGGACTAGGATGAGGAGGTGGGGAAACAAGGAGGGGTTCTCAGCTCCAGGTTCTGAGGGGGCGGGGTTCAGGGCTAGGACAGGGAGGAACCCCAGGCTCTTAATGGACTCCAGGTTAGGGGGGGCAGGGGTGGGGCCCAGAGACGGAAAGGGGAGGAGCCTCAGGCACGCGGTGGGCTCCAGAATGGGAAAGGCTGAGGCTAGGCCTGAGGCTGGAGGGGCGGGGCCGGGGCTGGAAAGGGGCGGGGACTGGGGCTGGGAGGGGGCGGGACTTTTGGCGAGAACAGTCAAGAAAGCAGATTGAAAGCTGGGCCTGGGGAGTGGGGGGGGGGCGGGAAGAGGGAGATGCTGGGGATCTTAGGTTGTCTCACCCGCTTTCGACCTCCCCGGAGTTCGGATCCGCGGCAGGTGCTGCCGACGTGCCCTCTCCAGCTGGGGCGGCGACAATCGCTGCTGCCGGTGGCGCCTCTCCCTCTTCGGTTCCCGCCGCTGAAGTCGGCTGCCCCGTGCCTGCCCCGGCTCCGGCTCCCGCCGCCGCCATCGCTGCCCGCTGTGCTACTTCTCGCGAGATTATTGGCTGAGTCTCGCGAGAGTTGAAGGCCAGGCCCGCTGTCTTCAAATTGCAGAGGCGGTTGGGAGGAGAGCGCGGTCCCGCCCAACGGCCGCTTTACCCCGAGAACGGAGAGGGCACGGCCGCCGTGCTTTCCACCCCTTGTTTTTTGAGCCTTGTCACCGCGCTGCCACCTAGTACGAGGATAGGGCGCTGGACGGTACTCACTAATCAGGAAGAACTCAGTTTAAATCTTGCTTCTTGACACTGAACAGCGCTGTGACCCTGGGCAACCCGAAAATTGGGATAATCATAGCACCAACCTCACTGAGTTGTGGGTAGAAAGCCATAAAGCTTTAGATACATGTTAGCTATCCTTATTGTTATTGCCCTCCTTTGTTGTTAAGTCGTGTCCGACTCTTTCGTGACCCCATTTGGGGATTTCTTGACAAAGGTTCTGAGGTGTTTTACCATTTCCTTCTCCAGCTCATTTTTTTTTTACGGATGAGGAAACTGAGGCAAACAAGGTTAAGTGACTTGTTCAAGGTCTTACAGCTAGTAATCTGAGGCTGGATTTGAACTCGGGAAGATGAGTCTTGCAGACTCGAGGCCCAGCACTCTGTGCACTGTGACGCCACCTAGCTGCCTTAGTACTCAAGGACCCCACGTGGATTGAGAAACTCCCCTAACACTCTCATCCTTCCCCTCCAAACTGCAACCTTGCATTTCTTTTACATGGGGCAGTGAGGGTTTGGCAAGAGGTTGGCTGAGGAAGCCTCAGCCTATCTCCTGGCAGGCTCACCCGCACCACCTCCTTCTGGGGGCCTTTCCCACGACTTACAGTCTCGCAAAGAGAATACAGATAACCACACGAAAAAACCTTCTGTGATAGATGGATTAGAGATTTGCAGAAGAAAGTGCTGGGTGGGATCTGAGGAGAAGAAACCTGCATAGAAAGATGGTATTTGAATTGGACTTTAAGGAATGATTAGAAATTTAAAGAGTGAAGTGAAAGACTTTCAAGGCATAAGTTACCAATGAGCTCTTAATTGCCAAATCATTTTTCTTAAGAGTGCCGGGCCTGGAGTCAGGAACACCTGAGTTCAAATGTGGCCTCAGATACTTAATAGCTGTGTAACCTGGGGCAAGTCACTTAACCTCTGTTTGCCTCAGTTTTCCCACCTGTAAGATGGGGATAATATCCCAAGGTGGTTGTGAGGATCAAGTGGGATAATGTTTGTAGAGCACTTAACACAGTGCCTAGCACATAGTAAGTACTGTATAAATGTTAGCTATTATTATTATTATCCTTTTTTTACCTCACTGCAGCCTTTGACACTGTTTTTTTTTTCCTTTGACACTTAATCACTCTCTTCTCCTTGATATTTTGTTCTCTCCAGGTTTTTGGCATACTGCTCTTTCCTGATTCCCTTACCTGACAGCTCTTTCTGTATCCTTTGCTGCAGCTTTATCCACTTCAAACCCACTAACAGTGGGTAGGTTCTATCTTGGATCCTCTTCCTTTTTCCCATTTATTATTTCTCTTGGTCATCTCATAAGCTCCCTTGACTTTAATTATGTCTATGTAGATGACTCTCAGATCTACTTGTACAGCCCTAATCTCTTTCCTGATCTCTAATCTCACATCTCCAACTGCCTTTTAGACATCTTGAACTGGATATTCCATAGGCATCTTAAACCCAACTAGTCCAAAAGTGAACTCATTATTTGCCTTTCCAAAACCTCTCCTCTTCCTAACTTCCCTATTACTGTCAAGGGCACCATTACCCTCCCAGTCACCCAAACTAGCAACCTAGGTGACATCCTCAACTTTTCACTCTCTCTCATTCCCCATATCCAACTAATGGTCAAATCCCTCCATTTCCACTTTCATAACATCTCTTTTATATGGCCTCTTGTGACTCTGCCACTAACTTGCTGTAAGCCCTTATCATCTCACACCTGGTCTATTGTAATAGCCTGCTGGCAGGTCTGCCTGCCTCAATTCTCTCCCCACTCCAATCCATTCTTCGCTTAACCATCAAAATTGATCTTCCTAAAACACATCTGATTATATCATCCCCTTCTTCAGTAAACTCTTCTGGCTCCCTATTACTTCCAGGATCAAATATGAAACCTTCTGTTTGGCTTTCAAAGCCCTTTATACACCTTTCTTCTCTTATGTACCCTGCAATCCACACACCAGCCTCTTTGCTTTTCCTCTAATAAGACACTCCATCTCCAGACTCCAAGCATTTTCACTGACTGTATTCTCCCTCCTCATTTCTACCCCTGAGCTTCCCAGGCTTCTTTCAAGTCTCAACTAAAGGCCTCCTTGGCCGTAGTGCCTCTCCTCTAAGATTATCCAGTACATAGTTTATTTGTACATAGTTGTTTACATATTGTCTCTACTGACTGTGAGCTCCTTGAGGACAAGGACTAATTTTTTTTTTCCTTTCTATGTATCCTCAGCACTTAAAATAGTGTCTGGCACATAGATACACAGGGACTAGCAGACTGACGGACTAATTGGCTGGCATTGGGAATAATCTGAGCAAAGACAAAGAGGCACAAAGGTGTATAGCCTGTAGGAGAGTGATAAGAGATAGAGTTGGAAAGGTGGGGTAGCTCTAGATTTTGGGTGGTCTTGAACTCTGGCAAAGGAACTTGAACACCAATATTAATAATTATAATAGCATTTATATAGCACTTTAAGGTTTACAAAGTACTTTACATACCTCATTTGGTCCTTACCACAACCCTGTGAAGTAGGTGTTGTTATTACCTATCTGAGTTTTCTAGATGGATAAACTGAGGCAGACAGAAGTTAAATGACTTACCCAGGGTCACATGGCTAATAAATGTCTGAGACAGTATTTGAACTCATGTCTTCCTAACTCCAAGTCTAGCGCTCTATCCACTGTGTCACCTAGGTTTACTTGGTATGGAATAAAGATTCACTGAACTTTTTTAAGCAGACATCTATACATAAGGAAGATTATGCACAAGTATTTCTTGCAGTGAGGTGGCACAGCACTGGAGTCAAAAAGAACCATCTTCCAGAGTTCAAATCTGTCCTCAGTCACTTATTAGCTATGTGATCCTGGGCAAGTCATTTAACCCTGTTTGCCTCAGTTTCCTCATTTGGAAAATAGGCTGGAGAAGGAAATGGCAAACCATTCCTGTATCTTTGCTAAGAAAACCTCAAACAGGGTCACAAAGAGTCAGACATTGAAATGACCGAACAACAACCAATTTCTTGAATTGTTCTATCATCCATATGAATTGGAGAGAGTAGTAGGGTGGAGGCAGGAATACCTATTTGGAAGATATTATAATAGTCTGGGCTGGTAGTAATGAGGAAGGCGATGGATGTGACAGTTAATGCAAAAGTGGAATTCAAATATAAGAGAGGTGAGGGAGAGGGAAATCAAAGATAACTAAAGTTGAAAAAATGGGAGACGGGTGAATGGTAGTGCCACAGACAGAAAAACTGAAGTTAGAAGGAGAACAGATGTAATTGAGGGGAAAAAAATTAAATGTGAAAAAAAAAGAACAGATTTGGATAGAAAGATAATGAACCCAGTTGTTGACATGTGAAGTTTGAGGTGCTAATAGAATGTGCTGGTGAAAAAAAAGTTCTTTAGGCAGTTGGAAATGCAGGTCTACAGCTCATAAGGGAGCCAAGACTATATATAATCTACATCTACATCTATATCTAAATCCATGTCATATCTATATCTATTAATCATTCTTTATAGAGATGGTTATCGAAGCCTTGAGAGCAAATGAGATTATAAAGAGAGTGATCATACAGAGAGAAGACTGATGACAGACCCTGAGTTTTGAAAAGAATAAGTAGCTAATCAATCAATCAATTAAGTCCTTAAGAAGTTCCAGAAACTATGCTCTGAGGATACAGAGAAAAGCAAAACCATAAATACAATCCCTGCTCTCAAAGTGTTTACATATTAATGGGGGAGACAATATGGAAATAATAGGAGTATATGACAAACATAAGTATGTAGTTTAAGGAAGGTTGTTGTTTGTCCTTCTTTCTTGATGTCCTGTGACACCAGGAAGATGATGCCTTGACTCGGAAATGATTCAGGTTTAAGTGAGGGAGCGCTGGGCAAGGTCATCAGCCTCACTTTCTCCTCTGGAGTCATCTGGGACGAGTGGCAAGATCAGGACAACTGGAGACGGCCGCGCTTACGGAAGGTAACTTTGTAGGGGATGACTCAAGTGACTTGGGGAACTAGAAGGCATCTTTCAGAGAGTTGGGTCTTAAAAGAAGCCAGGATTTTCAAGAGGCAAAAGTTAGGAGGGAGGGCATTCCAGGCATAGAGCGCAGACAGTGCAAAGGTATGGGAGATGAGAGATGGTATAGAAAGTGAGCCACTGTAGCTAAATTGTAGAGTGCAAAGAGAGTAAAGTGTGAGGAGACTGAAAGGTAGGAAGGGACTGTGCTGTGATAAGCCTTAAATGTCAAGAAGAGGACCTCATATTTTATCTTGAAAGTAATAAGAAGCTGAAGGAAGTTTATCAGTGAAAAGAGAGAGAGATGAGATAGTAGCTGCATAGCACAGAAGGGTCAAGAAGGAGCTGACATGAGCAAGATAGAAAGGACTCAGTAGAGAAGGATAGACTGAAGAAGAATGGGAAGGAGGAATATCTGATGGCACAAGCACCTCGCAGACCCTGAAGAGCCACGGAGGACATTGAAAAGACCCAGAAGTTATACAAACAGCTGGAAAAACATACCACTTTCTAGATTTGCAAAATGCTTGATATCCCCACCATAGAGTTGGGTGGTATAAATATTCCTGTTTCAGATGGGAAAACTGAGGCTAAGATACTAGCCTCAGGTCATACATATAGTATCTATTTCTTTGAGTCCCCTACCTAGTGTTCTTTTCACTACATCCCATCATCTCCCATAACAAAGTTTGTACCTGGATCTTCCTCGTCTTTGAGGTGCTCCTATGCTAAACAGCCTGCCTCAAGAAAGTTTGTAA